ACAAAAAACAACACACACACACACACACACACACACACACACACACACACACACACACACACACACACACACACACTTACCAAGCAATATGTAGAAAGTTCCAACGCTCAGAAAAAGCAATGCACAAAGAATGGTGAGTTGGAGCCTGATGGACTGAGTGTGATGCGCCCGACGGGCTTGACCAAACGATGGCCGCCCCATCATTATGATTGCAACAATAACAACTGCAGGAGCCACATTCAAAGGGAGCTCGTCTTTCAGCCACTGTCTTCACTCACAGCTGTTCTGCCTTGCCTCTATCTGTTCACCAAGATCTCCCCCATCATTATGAATAGCATCTCACAACCTGCAAGTAAATAGGGAAAGCAAACAAGTTGTCGAATGAAGGAAAGAAGAAACGAGCTGTCAGATGCACATTACAGAGAGATTGCCATACCATACATACCAGTTCACATTTCTGTTCAGCATTCAGAGATTGCTACACTTACAGACCAGCTCACATTTCCCAAGATTACTTCTTTCTGCCCATAGAAGGCAACGTATATGCTCTTACAGAGCTGAGTACAGTCCATCCAATAGCATGGAATGACCTCTGCTCTCTGACTAGCAACACAACTGGTACTGAGAAAGGGTGCCAAGGGAGACAAGAGAGCGGAGTGTTGCTCACTCAACCTAGACACCGCAGGATTGAAGAAATCTGAAAGAGAGAAGGACACGAGAGGACTCATCACGTAAAGATTGCCATGGTAAATGTGAGCTCGTAATTCCACAATAAACACAGGTTGGTTCCTCCAAGATGAGTGCACAGAGCTGAGCATCAGTGGCAACTTGTAAATGTAACCACAGTTCCGTGAAGGTAGGGTCTGAAACAGCCCAGACTGAACTGATGGCGCCACCAGGTTTGAAAATTTGAAAGACAACTTCTGCACTAAATGTTGTTCGGGCTTGGGCAGAATTGAACTGAAGAAATGGCACCATCAAGTCTGAGCAATTCTAAAGAGAACTCTGGCACCGAAGTGCCTGAGAGTAACTTTGAGAAAATACAACGGCCATAAACTAGGACCCTTAGCAGATATAAGATCAGCTCACAATTATATCAATCGTGCTTGTCTGGAGAAGTTGTGCCTAGTGGACCAGGTGCCGCAGCTAAGTAGACCAGTAGCATCTACATTAGCTAACAAGCAAAAGGTCACTGTCAAAGACTGCATTAAAGAAGTGGTTTCCACCTTCTCCGATGAGGAAGCAAAGATTAGTCACAAGTTGTCTTTTCTTGTTAGCGACAAACTACCCTTCAAGTTGATTCAACATGATTCTAGGAATTAGTACCTGGAAGGTTCTAAGCCGCGCTGGACGTTAAAACCTTGTGGTAGTTAGCCGACAAGCAAAAGATCACTGTCAAAGACTGCATTAAAGAAGTGGTTTCCACCTTCTCCCATGGGGAAGCAAAGATTAGGCACAAGGTGTCTTTTCTTGTTGGCGACAAACTACCACTCGACATGATTCTAGGAATTAGTACTTAGAAGTGGCTAAGCCGCAGTGGACTTTAAAACCACGTGGCACATGACTCCAGAATCTGCAGAGGTACTCACCTCATAAGATGGAAGATTCCTACGGATGCTTGTGTGTAAGTTTGTTCTACAACTATTGGTAGCAAAACCCAGAAGAGGGTATGCTCCTAGTTGTTATAACTCCAAAGGAGCAGCGCTTAGGGATCCTCAAAGAGACCACTACAATTGTCGTAAAATATCCAGGCCTGCAGGAAGAACCAACTGGAATTGTAGAAAGGGAGATCAGTGATCACCCATGGTATACAGATGGTTCCACGGAGTAAAACTCCAAAAGGGAGAATCTAAGATTTATCCTGCGGAGTTCCATGACCTTTGCAAGCAACAGAAGGAGCTGACTGACAAGGATAAATTAGGCCAACCACGTCACCTTATGGACCTTATGGATCTCCAGTTCTATTCCTTCCCAAGATGGGCGGCCCGCTAAGGAAGTGCATTGATTATAGGGGAAACAATGTCGTCGGTGTGCATAATGTTCAGCCCCTACCCTGCATCGACCACCTCTCAGATACACTGCACTGATGTATGTATTCAACAAGATAGTTCTGAAAGTTTGGGTATCATCACATGCGGATAAAGATCCGAGGATCAGCGCAAAACGGCATTTCACACTCATTATGGGCTGTTTGAGTGTATGGTGATCTGCAATGCGCCTGATACGTCCAGCATGCCACAAATATAATACTTCATGAGTACTTCATCTATCTCAATGATATTCTTGTTTTGAGTAAACTTCAGAGGATCATGCAGAGCATCTAAGGATAGTCTTAGACCTCCTCCGGAAGCAACAGTAGCAGATCAACCTATACAGATCAGGATTCTCCGGAATCAGCTGTCAATTCACTGGTATAATTCCTGAGGATATGAAAGTAGCGGCTATCAGGGCATGACCATGACCTCAAGTCTCTCACTGAGGTGAGATGTGTCTTGACAATGGCTGACTATCATAAAGATCATTCACTGAGAAGATAGCAGTATAGTGGGCCCCTTGACTGATCTAACTCAACGAGATACCCCTTAGGATTGGAGTAAGGATGGTGAGTGGGTTATATAAAATCGAAGTTTGCCCTCATGAATCACCCTATCCTGAATATTGTGAAGCCCAATAAGCCGTTTATCATTACCATTGAGATCAGTTAATACAGGACAGCCACACTGTTATAGCAAGTCGAGGGGACTACGTTAAACCACCAGTACGCTACGCGGCCCCAGCCTTGCAGAAAAGTGTTGAGTTGCCAACTCGCGATTTTGGGGCCCAGGAAAGGCCCGGTAGTGCAATGGAAGAGGAAGCCGGTGGGCCCAAGGAAAGGGGGCAAATATACTGCAATATGTCCTGCTGGTTTATGCCGTGCATGCATTTCTACATGCACAGCTCTTTCTGATGCCACTCTGTGTGAGAGGCGGAGAGCAAGCGATTCCTTGTCAGCCCCTTTTTCAGGACATTGGCCGCGGTTATGGCCAGTGCTGGATGAATCTGAAGGCAGTCACGGTTAGAACTTAGTATGCCCTTCTTGTTTTTTTCTGATTAAGAAGAATCTCGGTTCTTTCTGATGTGACTTCCCGTCAGAACCTCCCTTTTCATTTCAAGGCATTCTCACGCTAGCAGTTTCCAGAATGTATCTGACCGAACTTATGGCCAAGCCTTGGATGAAACTGAAGGCAATCACAGTCAGAGCTTAGTATCCCTTTTTTTTTTCCTTTTTTTTTTTTCTTCTTCTCTTAATAAGAAAGAAGAATCTCGGTTCTTTCTGTTGCGACTTCCCGTCAGAGGCAGGGAGCAATAGATTCCCTGCCAGCCCCTTTCATTTCAGGGCATTCTCATGCTAGCACTTTCCAGAATGTATCCGACCGCACAGCAGCCCAGGCCTAGAGTGGCACACGAGCGAAAACAAGAAAACGACTGCCACCTTTCATTCCAGCTGCTGGCAGCAGGTCCAGCATAGAGGACAGTACCGGTGCCGACCGACAAATTTTTCCTAGCGATTCCTGCCGCCTCCAGGCTCAGCAGAACTTCAGGCAGGCGAAGCATCAGTTTGGTAAAACAGGCCCAGGTGTACTGGAGTACATGTCTAAGAAGATGCCATCTCTCAAAAGCTTGCAAATTCCACCTATCAGAGGGAGTTGTCTACGTTCCCTATGGCATTGCAACACTAGAAGTACTACCTCCATCGCAGACATTTTGAAGTCTGGTCATGGGACAATGCAGTGGATCAAGACATCCCATCTTTTTGTTTTTTATCCTCTCAAGCTTTCAATACAAGTTGTATGTATAACTTCACATTGACCCATGAGAAAGGTAAATACAAATTGGTAGCTGATGCATAATCGAGGAGAGAAAACTTCCTAGGTGTGTATGTGATTGAGTTAGGGTTAGATGGGCGTGCATGTCAGCTGGTTCAAGAATCCTACCAAGAAGACACTTCACAAGAAAATCATCAGATGCTTCAACATGCAGGAAAGACGGGTGTATGAGGAATGTAAGATGGTTGACAGTTTGTTGTTCTTGAGCAAGGATGGGGTAGAAAGACTGTGTGCCCACTAATAAGTCTGCCAGGAGTTTGTTCCTAGGAGAGCGTCACTTCGCTACGGGTCACTTTAAGCGTAAAAGACATCCACTAATCTGTTACACAATTTCTAGTGGCCGGGTATGAACAGGGATGCGTATGCTTTTTTTTTTTTTTTTTTTTTTTTTTAGTATGGCTCCATTCTTTTGGTGGGGAGCTGCACCTGCTGGAAACCGGGTCCAGCGTCCCTTTAACAGAGTAGATAGGAAAAAGTTGGTACCTCTTCACCCCCCTTCTAGGGGCGCCAGATATTGTCTTTCTACCCTAGCACCAGAAACTATTCCTAGGTTCAAGAAAACCCCCTTCTAGGGGCGCAAGATATTGTCTTTCTACATTAGCACCAGAAACTATTCCTAGGTTCAAGAAAAACCTAGCTAATCCACACCATACCAACTCAAAGGAACCAAGCACAAAGATGATAGTGGAAATGGATCAGGGAAGTCTGATAATGGTCTTAGCGGGATCGCAGGATCCAGTTGCCAAGTTTTTCTAAGAGACAAACCATGCACATAAGCACCTCCAGGCTTCCTAAAGCCCTTCCGTATTCTGACAGTCCTGCTCAGTCTTTGGCCATGGCCATAGACTTCTGTCATGTAACTGATTGAAACGCAATCCACGACCAACTCACACATTCCGATACACTCATGCAATTATGAAGCAGACTTGGAGGAGGCAATTCCACACCAAAGCGGAGAGAATTACACAGCGGAAGCTCGGCACATAAAAGTATAATTCTAATCTCCTCTTCCTCCTCCAATCAGTAAGGATTACAAGATTCCACAAATCAACAACCGTGTTCCAACACCTCGAACAAATCAGAACAATGTTTTAACGAAATAAAAATGGTGTCTTCTTCTTCCTCCATTTTCATCTTCTACCCCCGGCAATGGCGCTCATCATCAGCAGCACCCAACCTGCAGACCACGAACTCCGCCAACCCACATCAAGTGCCTCCCCAGCAAAGCCCAGTACCCCTATCTGCTGAGTCAGCACCAGCTGCCTGGACGAAGAAGAAGGCCCCCCGAGAAGGAGAAGCAGAGATGGCTGCCATGAAGCCCAAATGCTCCAGCGCATGAGCCCCAAGTCCAGCGCTGCTCTCCCACTCCGTCACTCGGCCTCCAGCTATGGACGCCACCCACGAAGAAGAAAACAGGCTTTGTCAACAAGAAGACTGCACTAGCATTCACCAGCGCTCCTCCAAACGCCAACAGCCAAAACAAGCGAAAAGAACCATGGTGACCAACCTTCAACATGCTGATCTCCAATCTCTGTATTCCGATTGGAATGAAGAAAGTCCCATCGTGGTAAAACCTGTCTGTATTCTTCCCCAAGCTATTTCTAGACCTCAACACTCTACCTAGGACTCACAAACAGACAAAGCCGGCCTACCTGAATTGCAGTGGTACCAGTCAGTGAAACGGTACGGGCCTGGAAATTTAGAATTTTCAGAAAAGTCCCAGTAGGGACTGGGCCTGTAGCAGATACGGGGAAGGTCCTAAAAAATAAGAAAATTAGGGAAGGTCCTAAAAAATAAGAAAATTACAGAAATAAACCAACTAATGTTACAGCTCGCTGAGAATCTGCAGTTCATTGCATTCCTACCCTCCCAAGGAGTGCGGACCTCCAAGCTACCGGTGGTAGTGACGAGGTGAACATCTGGCAAAAAGCCCTTTCTGTTTAGCTTCATGGGCCAGTACAATGGACTTGGCGACTTGAGAAGTTCCTTCCTTGTATACCAGCGAGCTTCTATCTAAGGCTGGAATCAGAACTTCACAAGATACTCACAGTTGGGGCCTGTTCTGCATTGGTCCTCAATCCCTTCAACTTCATACCCCTTCCCAGTAATAGGAGGGCCGAACTGAGGAGGTATATGAGAATATCATTCACTATAGCTGATAACACAACACTTGAGTCATCACACCACTCAGGTCGTACACACGCGGATTGAAAAACAAATTGAAGTAAGAATTGTACAAACTTCGGCCAACCATTCGTTCCACAACACCCGAGAACCACCGTTCGTTCCGACAACCCCCACGGTCATACCGGGCGTTAGCCGCGGCAGGCCGTGGTCCGAAAGAAGACAATCCTAACTACAACAATTGCTTATGTACCCGCAGATACCCTGTTTCATGATAAGTTCGATAGTTACCTGAAGTCAGTCAACCACAACCCAAGAGGGTATGGCCTGGGCTAAACGGGGGTCATAGTGCCAAAAGACCAATCGTTGAGCCAAACCAAAACCAAAACACACAACAAGGCCCGGGCTTGAAGGGCCTATGCTCACTACCGGTCTGAACCATTATCCTAAGGCGAAGAAACCCCCAAATTGAGTACACTACAGAGTCCAAAAAAGGCGCACAGTCAGGGCGCAAAGTACCTTACGCTTGTCCATAGTCCGACACAGACAAAGGACAACCAAAACGAAATCACACACAAGAAAAAGGGTCAACAGACCGAGACAAAAAAGGAACAAAACAGAAACAAGCCCTGTCACTACAGAATCTAGTCAACAGCCAGCTTCCAATGAGCATCTCGGCCATGAGCAAATCGTTTCAACACTCGAATGAAGAAGCCAGTCAGAACATCCTTCAGTCTCGATTCTCTCTTCAAACTAAGAACCCGTCGAGGAATACCGTGCCTTGCAGATGTGTCCCTATCAATACGGTGAAGATGGCTGGCCAATACAGCACTTTTCGGCAACTTACTGCCCCAGGAAAAGAAAGATTGCCCGTTGAAAAAAGTCAAGCACCCCTCCTTCCACATGGACTCTTCGTTTTTAGAAACTTGAACACATTCAACAAAAGGGAAAACCTTCTGAGTTCGTATTTCACAACCCAGAAAGTCCCAAATCCCGGAGCCACCATCGGTTCTCCTCAAAGTAAGATTATCCGGGTAGCATCTTCCAAAAACAGCAAAGATGTCATCAACGACCTGTTCCCTCAAGTTCTCAGTAGCTACGAAAAGGCTGACGTCGTCAGTCAGTCTAATGCCACCAACATACCTGCTCATCTTCCCCAAACTCCGTAAGAATAAATATTCGGCCCTGGCACACATGATACAGGCGAGGGGAGGACCGGTGCTCTTCCCCATTCGAATGCCTACTACCTGCTGTAGTAGCACGCCCAAGGCAATCGTGTATGTGTGTGAGAGCTCGAAGGAGACAAACTGTCGAATGTCCGCAAATTCAACTTTCTTCCAATGGTCGTAGCCGGTACTGACTCCAAAGCTGGCACCCTTTCCTCTAGGGTTAACTCGAACAAAGGTCCTACCCTTAGAGGAATGATGGTCCAACAACCAATTCACCGCATCTTGGATATCCTCGTGCGGCAAACGGCTGAACATATCCTTGATGTCGAAGGATCTCGCAACTACAGTTGGGTCAGCATGCATGCGTCTCAACTTCTTGGTGTTCATCTCCAGAGTAGCATTTAGATCAAAGACATCCTTGAGATTCGAATGCCAATCTCTCGGGAGACGGTACAGGAGGTGATTTAGAGCCTTAGCCACGATCTAACTTGATCTGGCTGTCGGTTCCAAATATGAGGGACAAATCGGTCGAAATCGGTCCAAGTCCTTATGTTTAGGCATAGCATATGCTTGGCCGATTGTCCCCTTCCCGTCCCAGCGTGCAAAACCCAACAGACCTCCAGCTTTCAAATCAGCTTTCATCTCGTCAACCACTGCAACAGTCTCTTTGACGACAGGTAAGTATCCGACACTTCGAATAAACAGGTCCATCATACCCTCATCGTACAAGGAGGGGCATATGACCAGGGTTTCCCCTGGGTTGCGGTCCAGCGGGGGAAGAACCAAGCCTTCCAAACGGTTCTTCCATTCAAAAACGTCCCGCTTGTCCAAAAAACTCGACTTGTCGTCAACATCTCTTGTCAGACAACCGATCAATTCCGTACTCAAGCAGTGCACCGTTTGTCCTTTCACATTAATCCAATTAGCAAAAGCGACCTCGATTTCCTCACCCAGTTTTGTCACTCTGTCCGAGCGACGTGCTTTCAGAACATTGTTCCCGTTCATCAACAAGGGAGGTACGTTCTCCAGCTCACGTAACCGAGCACGCACGTGGCCTCGTACCCATGGGTACGACATCCCTGCACAACTGCAAGGTGACACCTCCATCCGTGCAAAAGCACGATGGTTGTGAAGTAGGTTCACAACGTTTGGGTTACGAATCCAAATGATGCGAAGTGATCTACGTGCGCGACGAATTGCACAAGGAGGAAGAACCAAACTCCCAATTTTATCGTTAACCAACTTTCGTACTTCGGAGATCTTAATCCGGTCGTCAAAAAGCAAACGGACGACAATACGAGCTGACAAATTCAAACCAAACCCGTCTTTCACACATCTACCAATCAGGCGCCTAAGGTAAGCACGCGTTCTCTTCTTCTCGAAGTCTTTAATAGCATTAAAAGTCTTGACAACGAATCCAAGTCCCATTTACGCAAGAGTTCCAGTCGTTTTGGGTTACGTAGGAGTGAAACAAGAATAGGCTTGTTAACACTTATACGCGGTTTCCAACGCCTTAAATGTTGGAACTCGATACAACCCACAGATTCAAAAGCCACTTTGAATCGTGCAAGACATCCTGCTACCCCATTAAAAACTACAGAAGAAGAACCGAAAGCCTTTCGTACACCCTGCCATTTACTACACCACGCATTCCCTCCTTCGATAAACAGAACAAACTGACAACTTCCATTATCGTCTTGGGAACGCAGGATATCGAAGACATTCACAGACCAAGCGTCGTTAGGGTTGATGCGAACTTTAATTGGTTTGATAGAGCGGACATCAGGCGACTCAATGGATCCTACTACTCGCTTCACACCCCTTTCCCGCTTACCACAACGACTATTCTTCTTACTGCCTACAGTCTTCCCGACAGTATTCAGGAATGGGCTCCAACGTTTAATAAACGTGGATTCAACCATGACAAGGTCAACTGGTTCAACCACTTCAACAGGTAATAAAGCGAAAGATTCCATGCCCACACATTTCCACCAGCGATACAGGTGCATACTGTTTACATTGCACTTAAACACGGAGACGTGTTCCCTCCACCGTATGCAAGGTGAGCGAGAGGCCTGACCAATGTATTGTGACTTGCACTTGAGCGAGAGGTCTGACCAATGTATTGTGACTTGCACTTGAAAGACGTAATCACATAAACGCAATTTGGCAATTTCAAGAAATCCAAATCATGTCGCTGGAAGAGAAAAAGCCAAGAATCAATGCATTTATTCAACCAACGAATTCGACCACGCAACGCTAACAACAGTATCAACAAACAAAAGATCAGGTCTAGCTCGTCGTCGACCGTATGTCGAAATGATGAAATCACTTCAGAAATCAGCATCAGTTGATCCGTACTGTACACATTTCATGCCGATGCCGCATCGTCGCTGTCCTCGTTGTTCGCATCGCCTTCCAGATTCGAAAAGCTTCAAAGTTCAGCAAAGGATCACCAAATTTCAGATGCGCCCTTCGATCGGCAATATCGAAAATCGCCTGGACTTTGGTGGCATAGTTGACTTCTTCATCTCGACAAATTGAAAGCAGTGTATCGCATTCCATCTTTGACAATTCACGTCTAGTGTTATCAAGAAAGATCATTCGCTCCATGATAACATCATGAGCTGGAGGTTAACAGTCGTAAGGGCCTTCGTGGCAACTCCCCGGTTCCCTTTCTTGGCCGCAATTCGAGATCTCGCGCGTTGGAATCTATCTGAAAAACGGACCGGTCGAATGCCCACCCGCTTGCTCGAGCGCTTCGCCGGAGTGGTAACAGGAGGGCTGTCCCCCACAGGTGTCTCAACATCACCACGCTTGCGTTTCTCTTGGATCGACAAGCTGCCGGTTCCTTTCGTAATCGCCTCGACATCGCTGGCTGCACCGGACGAGGAAGGCACATCCTCCACCACAACCTCCTTGCTTTTACCTGCGGTGTTAAGGAAAGTCTTGGTTTGACTCTTGACCAAAGTACCAGCCACAGCCTTACGGACCTCCGTCTTGATCTCCTCCTGGATATCACCCAATCTTAGGGAGAGTTGCACTTCCACAACCTTCGCCATCTTCAATTGCTCCTCCTCACGCTTACGCTGCTTCTCAGCTTCGCGCGCTGCTCGTTCGGCTTCAGCGGCTAAAGCCTTTACTTCGGCACGCCTAGCTTTCTCCTGTTCGTGTGCTCGTTGCTCCCATTCCATCCTACGTGCCCGCTCCATTTCAACGAACTCTTGAATAGACACGACCGTTCTTCCCAACTCGTCAAGTCGGTTGGCGGGCACAGGTTCATCCACAGTTGCACGTGGTTGCACTCCTTCCCTTGTGGGCGAACCAGTCGTGGCACGCCGATTATACTCCGGTGGACAAACAAACCATCCGCCTCCATCTGTCTTCTCGCAATTGGGTTCGTCCAATATCGCCAACAATCAGTACGGTAATGCCCCGTGACTCGGCACCCGAAGCAGACGGGTGGTCCGCGTCGTGGGGGGTCTTCTCTACGGTCCTCGCGACTGCTGCTACGTGAGCCGCCATAGCATCCATGGTTACCCTCACGGTTGTCACACCTACTGGGTTCAACGGAACAAGCTTTGCGATGCTCGCGATCATCATCTCGATAGTGATCACCGGCCATTGCCCCAGATCACGTTCCTTCACGCTAGCGAAAACTCGCACCAGGAAACTACCGAAGTAGTCAAAGATACAAAGGACAAAGTCCCAATCGTGCTCACTCACTCCTAGTAAGTTGACTCTAGGAAGGTTCACATGTGCTTCTTAAGGTATATGAGAAATATCATTCACCATAGTTGATAACACAACACTTGAGTCATCACACCACTCAGGTCGTACACACGCGGATTGAAAAACAAATTGAAGTAAGAATTGTACAAACTTTGGCCAACCGTTCGTTCCACAACACCCGAGAACCACCGTTCGTTTCGACAACCCCCACGATCATACCCGACGTTAGCCGCAGCAGGCCGTGGTCCGAATTGAGGAGGCCTGTTTGGAAATACATCAGCTGGCGTGAAAGGCAGCAACTTGGATGCATGGAAGACTGGATAGGTCTTAAGGTGTGCAAGTAGAGCTAGCACATAGGAAGGACTGAATGGATTTGCACCCGCTGTGTCTAAACCCTGCCGATATATCCTGTTCATCGGATAATTCACATCTTTTAACCCAGACCCAGTGTGAATGGGAGAAGGTAAGCGGTACTTATTAGTCTGTTCAATCATTCTTTTTTCCGCTTTGAAGATGTTTGTTTTTGCTTTCTCTAGATCCCTTTCATAGCTCTTGGCAAATTTTATTTTGTGCCAACCGTCAGTTTGGGCTTGGCCTTATCGATGATGCCATCGAGAGGCTACCTAGGGCCTCTACCCGAGTGGAGTTTGTAGGGCGTGAATCTAGTAGTACTATTAACAGAGGCATTATACATCAGTTGTGCCTTGGACAAATGTTGGTCCCAATCCTACTGATATGGGGTGATCACAGGTCGCAGCAGCTGAAATAAGACCTGGTTCATCACTTCAGCCTGTCCATTGGCTTCAGGATGTCTGTCAGAAGTCATATCAAGTCTAGAGTGGAGGTCATCCTGACAGTAGGAACGTTACGCATCGCTGCAAAAGCGTGGATCTTTGTCACTTACAATAGAGGTTGGGTGCCCACTCACCCACCTCTTAAAAAACACATCTATGATAAAAGACCCTTACCTCAACTAGCAATGGGATAAACTCAGCATGCTTAGAAAAGCGATCAACGCAGACCATCACCTATCTCATCGCACGAGGTGTGGTCTCACCAAGGTCAGTAAAATCAATGGACACAAACTCACCAGGACCTTCAAGGATAGTTAAGGGTTTGTGCAGTCCCATAGGAGGTTGCTTGCGGATCTTGTTTCTCTAGCACAGCTCACAGGCCTTTGAGTAGTGGGGAATATCCCCTTTCATTTTAGACCAATAGAAGTGTTGGGTCATGACAGCATAGGTCTTCAAGAACTGGAAATGGTTGCGAGCATCACGACTCTCTACAATGAGCCGAGTTATGATTTTCCAGTCATTAGGGATGCACAGACATCCCTCCCCCTCGCTGATTGTATACAACAGGTCTATAGTTAGGGCATAGCTTGGCTCAAAATTGGGGTCCGTTTGCGGATTCCTAACAATAAGGCCGAAGACAGGGTCCTGAGGCAACGCATATGAAATGGTCTGCCTGGTAGAATCCCCAAATGAGTAGGTCTACATAATATCATCAAATGCGTTCGGCCTACGAGCAAGTGCGTCAGCGACTCTATTCTAGCAACCCCACTTGTGTTTTTTCAGTTCAAAATCAAAAGCGTCAATGAACTAAATGTATCTCCCCGGCTTGTCATTCAACACCCCTTGGGTCTTCCATCCACCGCAAAGTAGAATGATCAGAATAGATCTTGAAATGTTATTCCCGGTAAGAAATTTTTCACTTTTGAGAGCTTAAACAAGGGCGTACAATTCTTTCTCATAGGTGGAAGCCTGGATTCGCTGAATGTTTCCACTTTTGAGAGCTTATACAAGGGCGTGCAATTCTTTCTCATAGGTGGAAGCCTGGATTCGCTGGACTTTTCTCACTTACGACTTTTGCAGGTTTTAGGTCAAACCCATCATCTTGCTGAAGAACAACACCAACTTCATATTGACTTGCATTTGTGGTCAACGCAAATGGTAAGTTAGGGTCAAGCAGTTTCAGCACAGTTACTTGGGTCAAGTTTTTTTTTCAGTTTATAAAAAGTCAACTGACACGTAGGCGTCCATTTGAAAAGGACATCCTTTGCCAGCAGGTTAGTCAGAGGAGTGGCTATAGTAGATAATTTTTTAATGATCTTTCCTATGATAGGGGGTCAGTCCCAAGAAAGACTTGATGTCTCTCAGAGTCTGGGGTTGTGGCCACTCTCTGACAGCAACCATTTTGGAGGCATCAGGGGATAGGTCATCCGCAAAAATCAAATGACCCAAGTATAAAACAGAAAAGGCGTCAAAATATGATTTTTCCTTGTTGATTTTGTACCTGTGTTCTATGAGGATCTAAAGAATTTTCTTGAGATGATCAGCATGTTCCTTGGCACCCTTGTTAGACACCAGAATGTCATCCAAGTAGACAACAAAAAAGCGGACTAGGAAGGGTCTGAAAATTTTGTTCATTTCAGTTTGGAAGGTGTCATTTGAATTGCACAGTCCAAAAAGCATGACCAGGAACTCATAGGTCTTATACCTGGTCTTGAAGGTTATGTTATAAACATCTTCCTCATCCATTTCAATATGATGATACCCTCACTTCAAATCGATTTTGTTGAAGACTTTGCAGCCTTGCACCATATCTAACCGATCATCGATCTTAGGCAAGGGCTCTAAGCTCTTCCTAGTGATCTTGTTCAGGCCTCTATAGTCAATGCACATCTCAAGCTCACTGTTCCCCTTTGGAACAAAGAGGACAAGTCCACCCTACTCAGATAAGCTAGGCTAGATCCATTCCTTCTCATTTAGAAATTTCAATTATTTCCTTAAACCACCAGTACTTGGCCCAACTATCGCCCGCCAAAAAAAAATAGAGTAGAAACGTTTCTAGTCGGTTGAATTTCGGGGCTCCTGTAGTGACCCGTATGTTTCCTAATTTTGTGGCTTATATACGGGCACAACTTTAGGAAATACTGGTGGTTTAGCTCATTCAATTCAGCAGGAGATATCATGTAAATTCTTCCTTTTCGAGGGGTATAGTTGGGGAGGATCTCTATGTGACGCTTGGTCTGCCTATGGACAAGTCCAATAGACTGTTGAGTCAAGTCAACATACTCATCAATCACTTGTTGAATGGTAGGATCACACTGTGGAGAGGATGTATCTGCTTGAGTTACGTATGTCATAAATCTTCTCATGGTCGGACAATTTAGACAAATTGTAAAACTCTCTTGCCTTTGGCCAATAACAATTTGTCTTTGGGTGGTAGTTAGTAGCCAAAACGCATTGTCTTAGCCAACCTTGTGCATTCTTTATTTGAGCAGTGGGCATAGCCCAGTCCATTGAAGGGTTAGTGACCTTCAACCACTTCATAGTTAGGACCATGTCAAAGGGTAAGCGTTGAAACACATAGAAGTTTAAACTTTGTGTGACTTCCCCTTTGGCATCAACGGTCACCGGAACACCTTTGCATACCCGCTTGACTATGACAGATTGGGAATTACCCACCAATGGGTGCTCAAGGTCTGAGACCTTGAGACTAGACGGAGTGTTTAAACCCTATTTTCAAAAATGAAGTTCTTTGTTGCTCCACAGCCCAACGGAATTTTTAACGTGGTCCTGTTGATTAGAGGCTTGAATAACATTAGCTTCAATATCTTGTTCCTCATTCTCCTTTAATTGGAGATGAAGGGAACATAGTTGATCATGCTCTTCCTCAGACAATGGCTCATCAGAAAGAGCTCGTGTTTAAGTCAATTGCGGTCTCACCAAATGCAGGCTCTGAAGCTTATTCGCTTTTACAAGGAGGTGAATGTGTTTCAACAAGGGTGGTTGCTGCCTCTGCTGGCCTGCTCAAATTTTTAGACTGTCGTTGCCCCAGGTGGGGCACTCTTTGACAAAGTGTTTGACAGCATACTTGAGGCAAACTCCAGACCTACTCAAGGATACACAGATCTCTCCAGGGAAAGGAAGAAGTATCCATAGGTTTGTTGGACATTTGGTCAACTTATAAAGTTGGCTTTGCTTCTAAGGTCCATTGGGGCGTTTGCTTGCACCCCTAAGACTAGAGGACTTTTGGGCCTTGAACTGACCTGAGCTTTGGTAAGGCTCATTGGTGCCTAACCCAGAATCATAGCAGCCTGGTTTGAGGATGCTCTTGCATCTTGACCAGATGAGGGTGCAGATCCCCCCTTCTGCAAAATCATCATCATAGCATACATTTCTCTCTTTCCCGTCCTTCTGCTCTAGGAAGAGGAGGTGCTTCCCTTCTGGGAAGAGGACTGAAGATGGGAGGGTGGCCTCTATGTCCGGTGCTACCCTGTCAAAAGTCCTTCAATCCTTGTGACCTCCAGTATATAGGGCCTTTGCATATGTATTTGAGGCAGCCCGGATAAACCATGTTAGTTTGTCTTGCTCAGACATGGACAAACCGAGGGTGGAGGCAAGTCTTTCCCACTCTACAAAGAGCTTGGGGAGGGATCCTCTCCATTTGGACTGGTCAATTCTCACAAGCCCATTTTTTGTAGAGTCGCACCAAAATCTTGTACTTGGGTCATGAAGTATCCATGGATGGGGTTAGGCCCGAAGATGCAAAGGTGGCTAGCATTTGTGACTGGCCACGACCTCAGTCTGTGAC